GGACTATTTTTCAGAGCCCCAAAAAGTAGTCGAGAAATTCAACCTTCATTTTTCTGAAGCTGGTGACCTTTTTGATAATGTATTGGGAGTCACCCCTGCTCATGCAATTTCCTACACCCCTGTCCAAACATTAAACGAATTAAGTTTCCAGCCTATCCACGAAAGTAATGTTTTGAAACAGCTTTCCTACCTCAAAGGGTCCTCCTCTACCGGAGCGGATAGTATTCCCGTCTTTGCTCTGCTAACTGTTGGTCACCTAATTTACAAACCTAGAGCCCATATTTTCAACCTGTCCATCAAAGAAGCATCAGTTCCTCTAGAATGGAAACATTCCTATGTCCGTCCACTTCACAAAGGGGGCCCTAAAGATGATCCCAATAACTACCGACCTATCTCAAATTTGTCCCCATTGATGAAAATGTTTGAAAAATGATTGAACTACCAAATTAGCAGTTTCCTTTCCACCAACAATCTACTACATCTAAAACAATCTGGGTTCCGGAAAAAAATACAGCACCACATCAGCTAGTTGCTCTTAAACTAGTCCTGAATACCTCCAAAACCAAGGTGCTATGCTTCTCACCAGGACTAAACCAGGAAGTTATTTTAACCCAATTACATTCCTTAAATAATTATCAAATAGAGTAAGTCAAGATCTATAAATATCTTGGGGTCATCCTGGATTCAAAACTGAATTTTGAAGATCACATTGATTATATTGGTAAAAAGACAAAAATAAAAAAGTATTTTCTGTATCGACACAAGCACTGCTTCTCCCCAATGTTCCGTTTGGAATTGATTAAAGCTACCATACTGCCTCTACTTGACTACTGTGACATCGTGTATAAATCAGCCCCAAGTACTGTACGGAAGAAGCTTGATTCCATCTATCACTCGGCCTTAAGATTTACATTGAACTGCCCATATAGGACTCACCACTGTGATCTCTACATTGGGTCAAACTTAACATCTCTTACTGTTCGACGGCTTGTGCACCAGATCTTATTTATTCACGATGTACTTACAAAAAAATCCGCAGACTACCTGCTGGATCTCCTTTCTGTTTCAAAGAACAAATTTGACCTCAGGTCTTCGCTCATTTACCAGCTTCACATTCCCTATTGCCGTACAAAAACTGGAGGAAGGGCCTTTGCTATTGATGCCCCCAGGGTCTGGAATGCTATTGCTAATAAACTGCAACTTGAATCGCTACCAATGAGATCTTCTCTCAAAACTGCTCTAGAGGAGTTGTACACCCCTAGCTGCCACTGCTATTCATTGGCGTAAAATAAAATAAAATGTTTCGCTCCAGATGACGCTGCAAAGTATTATCTGTATTTTGATTTAACGTGCTGATCTTAAAGGTGCATTGAAAAATTTGATACTCCGACTGATGCTTCTGTTGTTGTGGAGTAACTCATGCAGCCAGCTATGGCTCTAGGATTTGGTGTTACATATTATTTATGTAGTTTATTGTAAAAATTCGGTCACAGTCCTTATGATCCCTATTACGTTGCAATTATGGCTTTATTTTTTGGTGATTTCGAAAACGTTTTTTGGTTTGGACATGTGTTTTATTGTAGTACGGAGTTAGACTGATGGCCTTAATCTAAGTTTTCTTGTGGTTGTTGTTGTTTGACTTGCATCCCACTGGGATTTTTTTGCACACAGCGTTGGTGTACGGTGCTTTTTTCAGAAATATTTTGCTGTTTTTTAATGGATTTTCTGTTTGCAGTCACTAAGATGTTTTTTTCTTGTTCGTGTTTTTGTGTTTTTTGTTTGTTGCGGTTGCACCCGAGTCAAGAGCCGCATGGCTCACAGGGTTACACCTAATGAACTGAACTGAAATCAGAGTGGGCATTCCCATGCTTTGTGAAAGCGACATATCAGAGAGGGCATTTCCATCCTTGGTGAAGTGACAGATCAGATTGGGAATTTCCATCCTTTGTGAAAGTGTAATAAACGACATCTTCTTGAGATGCTCGGACATCCTCGCTCCCTGTTGTATTTCCTCGTCTCACAAAGGAAACACTTCTGACTCCAGTTGTAATAAACGACGTCAACGACGGCGGTTCGAGACTCGCGTCTTTTCTTTCATGAGAGACGACTGCTCGGCTCCGCACCCCCTGACTGGATGGTATCTCTCTGTCTCTGTCTCTCTCGCTGCGCGCGCGCTCACGCTCACTCGTCCTCCCTTCCCGCGCGGCTCCCCTCGCTCTCTCTCGCACCGCTGGCTGGCGGCGCGCAGGGAGTCGAGCGAGCTTCGCCCCTCGTAGTTGCCACGTGGCGTGACGAGTTGGCGGAAATGCAGTCCGCAGGCTTCCACACCGAGTCCTGCCCCTGCCTCTCCTTATATCCCTCTCGGTGGAGCTAAGCTCCGCCTCTAGCCACGCCCCCCTTAGAACCTTCCCGAAGGTTCCCGCATGTACCCACGAGCTCCGCCCATTACCTTTGGCCCAGATGGAACCGTCAGCAGGGCCGATGCAGCCCTCCGTCGCCCGTCAGTGTGCTCTCTCATTACAAGTGACAGATCAGATTGGGAATTTCCATCCTTTGTGAAAGTGACAGATCAGATTGGGAATTTTCATCCTTTGTGAGAGTGACAGATCAGATTGGGAATTTCCATACTTTGTGAAAGTTACAGATCAGATTGGGAATTTCCATCCTTTGTGAAAGTTAGCGATCAGATTGGGAATTTCCAGCCTTTGTGAAAGTTACAGATCAGATTGGGAATTTTCATCCTTTGTGAAAGTGACAGATCAGATTGGGAATTTCCATCCTTTGTGAAAGTGACAGATCAGATTGGGAATTTTCATCCTTTGTGAAAGTTACAAATCAGATTGGGAATTTCCATCCTTTGTGAAAGTTACAGATCAGATTGGGAATTTCCATCCTTTGTGAAAGTTACAGATCAGATTGGGAATTTTCATCCTTTGTGAAAGTTACAGATCAGATTGGGAATTTCCATCCTTTGTGAAAGTGACAGATCAGATTGGGAATTTCCATCCTTTGTGAAAGTGACAGATCAGATTGGGAATTTCCATCCTTTGTGAAAGTGACAGATCAGATTGGGAATTTCCATCCTTTGTGAAAGTTACAGATCAGATTGGGAATTTCCATACTTTGTGAAAGTTACAGATCAGATTGGGAATTTCCATCCTTTGTGAAAGTTAGCTATCAGATTGGGAATTTCCATCCTTTGTGAAAGTTACAGATCAGATTGGGAATTTCCATCCTTTATGAAAGTTACAGATCAGATTGGGAATTTCCATCCTTTGTGAAAGTTACAGATCAGATTGGGAATTTCCATCCTTTGTGAAAGTTACAGATCAGATTGGGAATTTCCATCCTTTGTGAAAGTTACAGATCAGATTGGGAATTTTCATCCTTTGTGAAAGTGACAGATCAGATTGGGAATTTTCATCCTTTGTGAAAGTTACAAATCAGATTGGGAATTTCCATCCTTTGTGAAAGTTACAGATCAGATTGGGAATTTCCATCCTTTGTGGAAGTTACAGATCAGATTGGGAATTTCCATCCTTTGTGAAAGTTACAGATCAGATTGGGAATTTCCATCCTTTGTGAAAGTTACAGATCAGATTGGGAATTTCCATCCTTTATGAAAGTTACAGATCAGATTGGGAATTTCCATCCTTTGTGAAAGTTACAGATCAGATTGGGAATTTCCATCCTTTGTGAAAGTTACAGATCAGATTGGGAATTTCCATCCTTTGTGAAAGTTACAGATCAGATTGGGAATTTCCATCCTTTGTGAAAGTGACAGATCAGATTGGGAATTTCCATCAAGGAGAGCGTTCTCATTTTCGGGGACGCGATGACGGACTGTGGATTTGGATTCAGGATTTCTGCCCGCACCGGTTGTTGCTTAGGCCACGCAGTTTAACTTTTAACTCGTGTTTCTGTCGTTATTGACTAATCAGACATTGAGGTTCAAAGTCAGAAACCTCAAATCGATTGTGGGGAAGCAGAGGCAGACTCAGTCTGATGGGAAATAGCCAATTCAAACGGCCTGTGTAAACAGCCACTGCATTCTCTCTCCACAATTGAACCACAAAGCATTGCCATTTCATAGCAGAAGGAAGATGTCAACATCCATCGGACAAAAAACATTCTTTTCGGGGGACTGGTGGGGGTGGGAAAAGTAAAAAAATTACTACTTCGGTGGAAGAGACCGATATGTATAGGCCACTCTCAGTTAGCCGTGGGCGGTTAATGCGGGTTGCGGATTAACCGCGCACGCGAGAACGCTGTCGCGACGACGCGCGATGGTTCAGTCATCGGGCGCTCCTCGCTCGCAGAGAAACCGCAGACTCGTCGGCACCACGGGCGGAGGCTCTATGCCTGTACCCCCCCCCCACTCAACGACGTAGCTCATCAATACGCTCCGTAGCATAATTTAGATTGGTTTTGCGTTATCCTCGTTTTATTTTATTCAGACCCCATCCACCCAGGGGCGGAGCCAGGCGGGGTGACAGGGGTGACATTCTGAGTGCAAGTGTACGACACTCGGTCTGGCGGACTCCGTGCCAACTGCATTGTCAGAGCGTGTCGCCAACCGATGGCGTCTAGTTCGAACAGCCCGACTCTCTTAATCATTCTTGAAATTAACATTTGTCGAATGTCACCCCGGCCTAAAAATCCTGGCTCCGCCCCTGCACCCACCCACCACCACCACCACCCCACTATTACCCCCTCAGACAATGGAGAGTTGACTGCAACGTCACAAATCGGAATCGCGCGAGTTGTGCTTCGGGCTCGTGAACCGTGCAGTGCGAATCGCTTGCCCCTCCGATCCCTCCCTCCCTGTGGCGGGGGGGCACCCACCTGACGCGTTCCGACCTCGCTCGAGTGACCGGCACAGGCAAGCAGTGTCGGCGAGCCGAGGTTCGGCAGCCGACGTTGCGCTAGCGCCGCGACCACGCCACGTGGGTCCGATGGCGGAAGTTCTCACCTGGGGCTAAACGAAACAAAAAACTCGACGAGGCAAACGGCATTTTAATTCAAAGCCAGTGCGGTAACACCAACATGCAGTACTTTCTCTGTGAGGAGGTTTCTGCTGCTCTGATCAGGGCTGGATTTTGGGTTGGGGTGAGGAGGCTGACAAATTGTCCATGGCCCAGAATTCCAGAGGAGCCCATAGGGGGGGAGGGGGGGAACCCGTAATTTTTAAGAATTGAATGACTTTAATTAATATGAACAATGTCAGCAATTGTACCTTGAGTGACTGCTGTCTGCACGTGTAAGAGGAAGGTTCGTGCGAGAGGATAGGAAAGGAGATTTTCTCCATTGCAGCATCTGGGAAGGAAGGCGGGGGGGGGCCCTAAATCCAGCCCCAGTCTCCGCTGCAGTTGTGCTGTAAATGAGCGAGGAACAGTCCCTCTTCCCCGCGCCGTGAAGAGCTCTCATTGGTCATTTATTGACACGGAACCCCGCGCAACCCAAAAACGATCGTTCGCGAGACGAGGCAAACTCGTCGAGGCGGTAACGGATCGAACGTATCGGCTTCGGAGAGGAGGGCGACAACCGGGGAGGCGAGAGCAAGGGTCTGGTCTGGGCGAGCGCAGTACAGGAGCACGGCACGGGAGCGCAGTACAGGAGCACAGCACGGGAGTGCAGTACAGGAGCACAGCACGGGAGTGCAGTACGCCAGCACACCACGGGAGTGCAGTACAGGAGCACAGCACGGGAGTGCAGTACAGGAGCACGGCACGGGAGTGCAGTACAGGAGCACAGCACGCGAGCGCAGTACAGGAGCACAGTACAGGAGCACAGTACAGGAGCACAGCACGCGAGCACGGTACGCGAGCACGGCACAGAATTGCAGTACGCGAACGTGCGACACGCACGCAATCGGCGGTCGCATTAACGAACCGGACACGCACTTCTAAGCCGTCGGAGCTGCCGCGCAAGCGCACGGTGCTGGTTTCGTATAAGGCGTCCGTCCCAGAGTTCAGCGAGGCAAGAGTTCGAGTCCCGTCCACTACGTTCCCTTCACCCGCCGAACCTCTGCCCCTCCGCGCTCCTGACCACGCGCTACGGGTAGCTGATAACTTAAGGATAGGTGACAAAATCGTAAGGGGGTGCAACGTCCCGTGATTTTCTGTCGTTTGGCAAAACAACGCAAAGAGTCGAGTGCGACGATCATGGGATGGGGCGGGTTGGGGGCTTGAAAGGAAATTGAAGGACACGAATCCATTGGCCAGAGCACAGGGTGGTGCGTGAGGATCGGGCCGCGTCCTTTCCCGACGTAGACCACACGCGGGACTTATTTCTCAGCCAGCACGAGGTCTCTCATCAAGAGCTGTGCCGTTCACTGCGACAACCCGCGACGCAACAACAAATTCCGCCGCCAGATTTCGGCGCAAATTATTTCCCCCGCCCGCCTGGACACCAACCCGGACAAGTCTGGGAATCGGCGACTACGAGCGGTGGCAGATGGGAAGCCATGCCACGTTCTTCGCGCGTCAAATAAAAACGGATCTTGCGATAACGCACTTCGCCGAATAAGGTTATTATTGCAGTTCGCTTTCATTGGCGATTTAAATGCGTTGGTGCAACTCAAGTTTCGCCATCTCAAGCGGGGTGCTAACAAGTCAAATATTTGGTCTGGGCACCATGGCCTACAAAAACATGAATCCACAATAATTTTTGACGGGGGGTTTTTGCCTTGAGACCAGTGGTTCTTAACCTGGGGTGCATTGGAGGTAAATCATCAAAACACAGTTGAAGCACGGGCAGGTAAGTACAACCACTCTGTTTCATCAAACCCTCTACGCATTTATTACCGTTATACATTTGTTTTTTTTTACAATTGAGAACCAAATGGGTGCAAGGCTGCAGCAGAGGTTAGGAACCACTGCTTCAGGCCATGAAACACCGGAGCAATTGTAAGGCAATCGTCACAGGCAACAGTTGCCAATACCATTTTCTACCACGAAAAAAAATCTGTTTGCTCATCTAGTTTTGGCGAATCTGACCTCTGCTGCCACCTCGCGTGCAACTGGCAACTTCCAATTCAATCGCAGATTTTGTGCGCTCTGCAAACCAATTGTCTCTCGTTAACCTGCTCCCCCCCCCCCACGCTTTTCAACAAAGTATTTTGTCACTGGCAAGACGGAAGTCCCGTTCACTTCTACGCCAGGGTTTTTAGCTACTACATTTAACCCCGGGGCGTTGAAACACGAGCGCACGTGACATCATACGTCACGGGTCTGTAACTCTTTGTTTGTGAGAGGGGCAGCTTGTTGGGCTACTCCAAGAGCCTTCGCGGGCCAGATGTGGGGGACATTGGCCTCCAGTTTTGAACCCTTTCACAGGCGGTCCTGTCTATTCTCGGGGACCTGCCAATGCCCTCCAAAGTCAAATGCGGGGTTTGTTTGCAGGCCACACACGTGATAAGGTCAGCTTCTACCACACGGTAGAATCTGGAAAAAGGAAACTTTTGCGCGGAAGGAACCAGGATCATACCCCGTTCGTTCGGAATTAGTTTATACGCCAAATATAAAACGGACTCAAGTTTACAGAATAGATGTGTGCAGTATTCCCTCATGATTACAAACGTACTTATCCACGATTTGGGCAATCTGCGAATCACACCTGGCACTTTATACGGCTGCATTTAAAGTGATTAGAGAAAGTGATGAGATAGGGTACGTTCATTCATAAACTTTAATTTAATACATTAATTTGTATTTACTTTGGTTTAGTATAACCACTTTAAATAGTTTTCATGTTATAATTTTCATATATTTAAGTAACTTATTTATGAATTTATTTATGTAAGGTAATTCATTAAAAAAAGATGCAATGGTTTTCGTAGGCCAAATATCATTATCCGTGCAGTGTGCTATTCATTAGCAATACCATCCGCAAAAAAATGGCTATTCACGAGCATCTCCGGAACGTGTCCCTCGCGAAAAACGAGGGGATCCTGCAAGCGGCTGGCTACCAATGGCCCCCCAATGCCATTGCCAAACCAAGCGGTCACAGTTGACAATTGCCATGACACTGCCCCGAGCGTATCATGGGGGGGGGGGGGGGGCCTTTAGCCTGGCTTTACCACTCAGGCATAAGTGCTAAAAAGTTCTGGATAGTAAATCGCAAAAAGGACGCTTTCAGTTCTTGAATTAAATGTTTGATTGCTAATTTGTGACCTGCAAAGAACACGAAGAAAAAGCTCGCCGAGTTGCTCGTATACTTTGGCTGCAAAGCAAAAGATCGTGGCGTACTTAACAAGGGGCACTTCACCCGAACAACCGCAGGCGGCGCCATTCAAACGAACAAAGTTCTGCAGCTCGCTATGCAACAATCCGCACGTGGAAACACGCCGTCAGCACAATGTGCCCACGAGCACTCCATACTGACCACAAAGTCGCTTCGGGCACAGTCGGCATTCTCTACTCAACATTCCCATCGTCGTCGTCGTCGTCGTCATTCATTTGTCTTTTTTTTTGTGGGCAATGGCGGGCATTGCTAAACGAGGACATTTTTGTTGCTGAAAATAAACCGACAGGAGTTGAGCTGGTACCAGTGGAGAATTCTGCTGTCACTATAACGCCAGTCGCACGCCCACTGCCAGCCTTTCCGGGTGCGTGATTAACCCAGGTCTGCCTCTCCCTGGCAAAGGCGGCAACTTTTGATGCGCCTCAACGGGCTTCTTTCATCCGCGGGTCCCGCGTTAGAGGACGGCAAATGCTTTGTGCTGCTGCTCAGTCAAATGTATGTACGTTGAACTTACTTCGCGCCGTACGTAGCCAACCGTGCTAATTGGCGGCGAGGTCATTGGAAGGTTGATGGACTCTGTTGGTCACAGTGCGGGGGTTGTGGGTTCAGTTACCATCACTGATGTTGGCAGTGGCTGAGAATCGGTCAAAACGTTGTTTTGATTTTATGGGTATTCAGCCATCGTACTGCAGAAAAAAAATGTGGCCAAGTGATGCTCAACATAACGCCATGGATCTTGCTGGATCTTGCTTTAAACCGGAACGTACTTTCAAAGTAGGAACTTATCTGCCACTTTAACGTCGTGCATAATTCATTGATTTTCATGTCCAATCTCAGAAGCGAGGCAAGGATTGAACCTAAATTGTCATGATTGGGTGGCCACCGGCGGGAACCGAACGGCCTGCTTGAGGTTGCCGTTGGGGCCCCGCGCAAGCGGACACTGCGGAGAGCAGAAAAAGGCATTGCACTCGACGGTGACTCGTGGTCTGTGGAGGTCCTCATCCAGCAGTGGATCGATAAAGAGGGCTGTGTATATCCAGGGTCGTAGGCAATCACTTATTTTAGTGGCCACTCCCACGGATTTCGGTTCTGCCTTCGCCTGCAGATCCCATTCACAATTGTCATAAATTTGTGCTCCAAATTGGCAGGGGCTTGTTATTGCGCCTTCGTTTGACCCGGAGTGGCTCACCATAAGCCAGCAGTGGAGAGGTTCTGAAGCCGTCCCACTGCGAGCCCCCATTAAAAGTCAAGTATCACGCTCAAGGATATTTAACAATGGTTGTAGATTTACAGCCTCGGTCAGTCCACTGGCTGGGCCTTGTCATCCATGGGGGATGCGTAAACCATACTTCACCGCACCAATCAGTGGGAGTTGACCAAGAAGGAAGCATGGGAGTGGTAAGGCCGGTTCAGGTATCACTCGACACTGACTTTAGAAGTGGCCGCGAATGAAACTCGTGATTGGCTGCGCTCGCAACTGCCACCGTCGCTTCAGAGCCTTAAAAGAGCGTGGTCACCGACCTGGTCGCAAATGCTGCTGCTGCTGCTGGCAGCAGTTAGAACGGGTCACGCTATACTGACAGCACACAAATCCGACCGGTATCACGATTCAACGTACAGCCGCAGTACACGATTCCCTAAGATGTGGTACATTCAGGCTTGGCGAACCCAAGTTCGCGCTTCGTTAGCCGATAGAGCGCGCGCAGGGGGTCTACGCGGTTATCGCATTAAATACAAAACTGTACACACACGAGCCACAGGCTAAGTGCACGGGAACAAGGGAGCAACGAGGCGGAGGAGGCAGCGACGTTCGCGTGATAAAGGGAGTCATTGCTTTTCCTCGACGGTCACAAACACAGCGTTCACGATGGCCACAGTGCACAGCCCGGGGACGATGGGGAGAACTCCTAGCGGGTTGTCAACGCGGCCAATGGCACACCGCCGCGTCACACCGTATTGTGTACTTCACCGCCACGGCTTGCGGCAGCGGCGGGGGGGCGGGGGGGGGGAAGAGTCTAGTGGCGATCGCCCACGGAGCAACATGCACTGGGGAGTTTTTTTTTAAATCTTTTTTTTTCTTTTTCGCCACCAAATTAACCGAGCGTTTAAACAGCCGCGCGGACGCGCGGGGGGGGGGGTCAGGCGGGGCGGGGTCAGGCGGGGCGGGGTCAGGCGGGGCGGGGTCAGGCGGGGTCAGGCGGGGCGGGGCGGTTTCCCTGACGTTGATAAAGGCGACGGCGTAAGACAGCGGGGCTCGCTCGCTCGCTCGCGCCGACGGGGCGCTAACGGCGAGCGAGCGACATTCGGCATCGTGACGGCGCGCCAACTCGACCCCACGCACACTGCACGGGAAACGCACGTGTGTGTGCGTGCACGTGTGTGCGTGCACGTGTGTGTGTGTGCACGTGCACGTGTGTGTGCACGTGCGCACGTGCGTGCACTCCATCGCAGCGGATGCAGGGGGTCCCCCGGGACTGTCCTACGCACGCCGGGATGACGTTGACTTTATGATTTAGGGGCAGGTCCAGCCTACAGTAAATCCTAGCCCGGTTAAGGTGGCGTTACAAAGCTGCGTCTCAAGTTTCCCCCAAGACAAATACGATTCCGATCCGAGTGGCCAAAGCGGCGCCACGTTCTAAGAAGACGCGTGCCCACCGGGGTTGAACGACGCGAAGGAAGCTCAGATGCCAAGATCGCCTTGCTGCCAGTTCACCAACAATCAGCCGGTTCTGCTTGTTGTATACGGTGGCGAGCGAGGTTTGGGAAAAAGCGGCGGCCGCGGCGGGCGGCTTTGCCCGCGGACGCAGCTTTTTTTTTTCCCGTGAGGCTCAACGGATGAAGGCGGCACCGTGCACTCTCCATGGCAGGGGAGGGTTGTATCGGGCACGGGCGCGGGCTACAAACGTCGGACAGCCCCGTCCCGGCTGACGGGGTGCAAAGTAAAAATCCAACGGACATTGCGCGCACCAGAAATCAGACCCCGGCAACAATAATTACAAAAAGAAAATTACGACAACCGATCATAATGGCCGATGTTAACACAAAAAAAAAAAAATCATAAATGCAAAAACATTAATAATAATAATAAAGGAAACCATCAAAACGAAACAAAAACGAGATAAAAAAATGTATACACATCTCTTTGGGGTGTATGGGAAGACGATACAGACGCGACGAAGCTTCCACACACCACTCCCCCCCCCATCCCCGAGTGTTTCAAGTCGCGGGCAGCCCAAGCGGGAACGCAGCAAGGGCTGGAATCCCACAGCCACGCGAATTGTGAGTGCCTTGAGAAGGGAAGGTGAGGAGGTTTGCGAGGAGGAGGGGGAGAGAAGGGGAGAGAGGGGGAGAGAATCCTAAGGGAGAGAAGGGCAGTGTGGAGCGGAGAGAACAAAGGGGAGAGACCGGGCAGGTGTAGAAGGGAGAGAAGGGGGAGCCGGGAGAGTCGGATGTGAATTTGCTCCTGCATTCGAATGCAAGTGCACATCAAGTCTCTCCGCACAAACCAACGGGATGTTATTCTTGCCACGCATATAGAAGTGACAGTCAGCCATTGGGCAGGGAATCGACAGCTCGGCGGAGGGGCTTCCAAGCTACGGAGGAGCAATCATGGAATGGGGCCGGAAGAAGGGCCACTATCTGGGAACCTACCAAGAGAGGATCGTCGGGTTTCGTGAATGCGGCAGCCTGGCGCGACTTCATTGCAGACGTTACGATTGAAGACAAATGATAAATGTTCCCGTTATGGTCAACGAGCGACAATTTGTAAATAACCTCATCGTGCGATAAAACCCAATAGCGGATATTATTTCCCGACATTTCCATCACGGCCGTGTCGAGAGCCACGTACAGCCTCAACGGCTCTCTCTGCAATGTCTCGCACTGCACGTCTTGCTGTGCCCAATGGTGGCGGCACCGGTCGACCCGGGGGAGGAGGACAAAAGGGAACCAAGAGTCCGCGTGGGCAAGGAGAACCCTCAGATGGGATAGAATAAGAACAGAGAGGTGAAGACGTGAGCGGGCGGGCGGGCGGGCGGGCGGGCGGGCGGGCGGGCGGTTGATCTGGCGAGCAGGCGGGCTATCGGGCGGGCGCAGGTGGCAGCGGTCACTTGTAGAGCATCATGTCGCGGTGCTGGTACATGCACATGTACGCGTCGCACAGGAGGCGGGACGCCGGGCCCTCCATGACGCGTGGGTCCAGGCCGTCCAGCTCCTCCGGGCGCATGCTCAGGTACTGCGCCACCTCCGGGCACTCGCGCACCTCCGGGATGTTGAAGCCCTCCTGCCCGCCTGCCGGGAGGGTTCGCGGGCGAGGGAGACCACGGGAGGGATTGGTTTCCAGGCGATTCACGGCTCAGGCGAGTATCGAGTCTGTTTTGGTGGTCATCGCTCGTTTTACAGCCCTGAGCTCGCGGTGGAAATTCCACATTTCGGTGGTGGGGGGCAAGTCTATCCGTAGGACAACCGCTCCTGACTTGACCGAACAGTGGTACTCATTTATTAACAGACTCTCCAAATGGACGATGGGCTGAGTCAACCCCCCACAAACAAGGATTTGAACTCGTGACCGTCCCGATTGCGAGCGCACGCAAACCCCAAATACACAACAGGCGTCAGGGGTCGGGATGGAACCCACGACCTCCTGCACGCCGGGTCGAGGTAGTGAACATCTCATAGCCACCGCGGTGACAGGAGTGCGAAGGCAAGCAAGTCACGGCAAAAAAGACAAAGTGTACACAAGCACCTTCACGATCGGCCATGCTGTCGAAGAAGAGCCACGACTGTGGTGCGGGGCCGTGCTTGGCGAAGGCGACGTAGTGGCTCGTCTGGATGCAGAGAACCGCAAACAGCTCCAGCCTCTCGCGGGCCGCGCCGAGGCAGCCGCCGCCGCCGCCGAGCCGCCGCTGCCGGCCGGGCCCCAGGAATGCGGCGCGCACCTCCTCCGTCACCACGAGCTTCCGCACCGAGCGGTGCTGCTGCCGCTCGGGGTGGCTGTGCACCTGCGCCCCGGCGGGGGAGGGGGGGGTGGCGGCCAAAAGCGTTCGGCGACGCGTTAGCGGTCATCAGGCGTGTCGGGCGAGCGACAACCTTCGTCGGCGTTCGGATGGGAGCGACCGTTTGAATGCGCGCGCGAGGACGAAGAAACTTAACCGCGGGTGGAACGGAGGTTGTAAAAACGGCGACTTGCGGGCAGCAGAGGGCAGTGTGACAAAGCCTCATTGTTGTATTGTACCATGCTCCTACGTCTATGCTCACCGCCTTCACCAGCCTGCAGTGACCGGCGTGATGAAGTATGCTCCAATGACCCCCGCGACCCGTACGGCAGTGCAATGACTAAAGAAGCATGGCTGTAGCCGTGCATGCCGACTTAGTGGAATAAAACCGTCGACCTGGTGAAATTCGTTGTAACTTTCTGACCCGCCCCTGACTGAACATCTGTGAAAAAGAGAATCACAGCTCATCGGCTTTTTTCCCAGGATAAGTACAAATGGTGATTCTGAACAACAAATTACATCGTCACTGTAATTCCCTCCCAGGTCCGAGTGTCTGTGTGCGTGCACACAGTGTGGGAAGCGGCGGCACAGCGGATGAGGGCACCGCGCTACGAATCCCGGCGCACCCCTCCACCGAGTTCGATTGCCGCTCACGGCCAACATCGGTGACGATTTATCCGAAGCGGTCCCTGGGCCTCCCCCCCCTTAGCTCAGAGGTCGGCAAACCAAAACAACATTTTTTTGTCGAATTCGGTAAAAAAAAAAAAAACCTCGACATTTCAAGAGCCGCAATGCACCTCGGTGAATCTCGAGCCGAACGGCGGTGGTCCGTGGCAAATAACCGTCGCCAATCGGTGCCTTAAAGAGCCCGCCGGCATGCAGAATCCAGAGCCGCAGGTTGCCGACCGACCCCCGTGCCCGAGCTCAACTCGATATTAAACGAGCACCCGGTGCGGTGCGCGGCGCGTGAACGGAAGCGTTGGGGAGACAAAGAGGGGGCAACCGCGTTGTGCGAGAGTGCCAGGCTCCCACCTGTTTGTTGCACATTGAGCAGAACTGCTTGAGGCAGCTGGGTCCCATCCTGGGGTCGTGGTAGCAATCCTTGCACTCCTCCTCGGCGAGACCGCCGCAGATGTGGCATTCCCGCGGCGCTGTGCCACACACACACACACAACGTGAGGTGGTGGGGGGGGGGGGGCGAGAGGGAAGCTCGGTTACGTGGCAAAGGTGTTGGGTGGTACGGGGAAATCGAGTCGGTCAGCGAAGTCACAAGGAGACACGGCTCCACGATAAGATGAATTATCGTGATTTTGGATCGTGATTCGATTCTCTAATCTCTCACTATTATTTCGGATTGTAGAATGATTAGCAGGTGCTGCATCCAAGGGGAGAGCGGTGGCACATTGGTTAGCACACTCCGCTGTGAACCTCGCGAGCTGAGTTTAATACCCGGGGCATGGCTACTGTCAGCAGCGAGTGTTATAAGCCGACACCGCCCTCCAGCACAAACAAGCACCACGATTTAATCCAGCAGTAGATTGTCATACTTAGTGCACGCGTCTTTCCCCCGCACGTCCGATTAGTACAATTGGCTATGCACTGTGCGAAAGAAGTTCAACATGGAACCCACGGTGGAGCACGAAGCACACCACATCCAGAATGCTTCTCTCCGTGGCTGCGGCTACCCGTCAAGCGCCACCGAGACCCGTCTACCAGCCACATGGAGGGTTTCCCGTGAGAAGTTCGGCAACGCTGCTCACCGTCCTCCAGCAGGTCCGTGATGTCAAGCTCCAGGGAGGGGATGATTTTGTTGAACATCTTGAAGTCCTTGCCAAACCTGGGCATCTGCACGATGAGGCAGGAGGGCGTCTGCAGGGACACGGGCGAGGGGTGGTTGCGGGAGAGACGCAGGTGTGGCACGCGTGAGTTGCGGTCCATCGCAAGCAGTGTCGGAGAAAGGCCCCCGGAAGGTGACACCGAATAACCTGCTGTGCATTATGAGGTTACTTCAATCAGCCCGAACGCGGGATTAAAGGCCAACTCCCGCATGCTGCTGGCAGCATGCTTTTCGTAGATTCGAGTTAAAGGAAGATACGATACAACAACAACAACAAAATCTACCTGCTTTTAACCTTAATTACATTGTGCTTCTGGGTGTTGCAGAAGCGGCAAGTGCTGACCTGAGACTTGATTTTCCAGACGGGTTTCGGTAGCGGACTTTTAACACCATTGCTACCTTCACATCATGGTGTTCAGGCAACGCCCTTCCCTTTGCCGCATGGTGATGCATGGCAAAGGTGTGGAGCACAGCGTGGTGCGGTATTAGTGCGGTGGGGAATGTCTGTGTGCGGCGTGGTATCGTCTGTTGCGGTGGCGAATGATGGTGCCGAATGGTGGCGGTGTGCGGTAATATGGCAGGGTGTAGCAGCGCGTAGCGTGACATCATGTAGCGCCGCGTGGCATAGTGCGGGTGCGGTGCAAGCGCAGCGGCGCACGGTGTGCGCCGCTGCGTGGTCATGGCCCTGTGTGGTCGTAGCGGTGTCTATTGCGGCGTGGTTGTGGCGCTGTGTGGTTGTGGCGCTGTGTGGTTGTTGCGCTGGGTGTGATTGCGGAGCTGAGGGTGGTTGTGGCGCTGTGTGGTTGTGGCGCTGTGTGGTTGTGGTGCTGTGTGGTTGTGGTGCTGTGTGGTTGTTGCGCTGGGTGTGGTTGTGGTGCTGTGTGGTTGTAGCGCTGTGTGGTTGTTGCGCTGTGTGGTTGTGGCGCTGGGTGTGGTTGTGGAGCTGCGCGGTTGTAGCGGTGTCTATCGCGGCGTGGTTGTGGTGCTGTGTGGTTGTTGGGCTGAGCGTGGTTGTTGCGCTGAGCGTGGTTGCGGCACTGTGTGTGGTCGTAGCGGTGTCTATCGCGGCGTGGTTGCGGCGCTGTGGCGTGCGACGCGTCGAGGCACCTCCACGAGCTTGAGGTCGGCGGCGAGGAATGACTGCTCCAGCAGCTGCTGCACCGTGGGCACCTTCACCTGCTCGTCACGCTCCGTGAAGATCTGGTAGAAATGCCCGTCCTGGAAGTCCTTGTTTCCAGATCTGGGCATGGTCGAATCCGGGGAGAGAAAACATTTATTATTCCACAAGTATAATAAACACGAATTTTACTTCATATAGCATCGTTCAAGCATACTGCATTTCAAATGCCGAACACTGCAAACCACATTTTAACACAAGGGGATGAGATGCAACACAAATTAGACCAAGGGTATGGAGGTAAACGCGGCATGAGCGAGGGAGGGCGACAGTCAAAAAAGTTATGCTAGCAACCTTCTGCGCAGATTATACATCCCACACACTGTTTTCACTCGCGGCATCGTGTCATCTCATGCGACAAAGAAGACATTTCCGTTGGGAACCCCGCGGCTACGCACCACCGCACGTAGCCAACCGTGCTAATCGGAGGTGCGGGGGAAGGACAACTAAACACCCATAAAAAAAATAGGCCATGGAAGGTGACGTCAAAGGAGCGAGATGCTTCGAGCCACGTCCCCGTGCCTCACCGGATTTTCAGGAAGGGCTCCACCTTCAGCACGTGCTGGAACAGGATGTTGAGAAACTCCTCGGGATCTGTGCGAGCGACAGCACGGGGCGCCGGTTTATTTCAAACGCTCAGCTCGGGGACAGGGGCACAGCACGGCACGGCGGTAACATGGACAAACGTTTGAACGGCGCCCAACTGGGTTTTTTGGGTTAGGTCGTGTGTACGCAACAACGCGTCGGAGACCCCCTGCTCTGCCCGAGGCGGCCGATTAAACCTTTCGCGTTCCTGAGACGTCTGCAAGTTGCGGGGGGGGTCCCGTTCATCGGGGAATCTCGGAACGCGCGAGCGGCTCAGCGTTAATTTTATTCAGAGAGGCATGGCGCAGTTGTTTTAAAAGACATCTTGCTCACCGCAGAAAACTCTAACGACACGACCGCACTCTATGACAGCTGGCGCCAAACTGTGCCGCACGCATGTATTTTGAACTTCTTTCGCACCGTACATATTCGAGCCGTGCTGATCGGCATCGTGGGAGCCCCGGTACTGATAAAGTTATTTTATTCGAGTTCTTCCTCTGGTTCCGTTTCGATGACGTGCACACACAACCACACGTACGTCACTGAAACGGGCGAGTAAAAGCGTCACGTGACAGGCCCCGCGTCGTCGCGAACACGCGCCGCCAGTCCATACTCGCCTTTCTCCTCGCATGTCAGCCCCGTGACGTAGCCGATCTTGTCCAGCTGTTTCCGCAGCTGCATGACCTTGGTGGCGCTCACGAAGCCGTTCCTGCGCGGCGACACCGAAAGAGAGCCTTAGCGTTCACCGGCAGATCACAAAGCGAGGTACCGCGCGCACGCGCGCATACAAGTAGGAGGTGTGTTTCAAAAAAATGCGTCGCATCAAATAAATCCACCTGGATAAAACGTTGTCGAGAAAAAGTTTTCCCAAGCCGTCACGTGCATGGTCACACGGTCGTCGACATCGCAACGCCAACGGTGAGACTTTGGTTCGATTTCTTTAGTGCGTTTTCTTCTAAATTATTATTCCGACTGTGCCGCCAAGCATCGCGAGGAGAGACGAAAACGTTGCCGTGAAGAATTCTCACACACGGCACCGAACCACTACCACCACCACTACCACCACGGTCGTCTTTTCTCTGGAGAGAGGCCTCCCCCGGGAGACGATGTCGCAGAGCTAATGCTGAACTTCAGACGAAGCCTCGTTTACAAGGCTCATCATCCACGCTCGGGGCGCACCTTTCATTGGCGCCGCCAAAAGTGTTCGTCGCAACGCAATGAAATGCACATCTTTAATTGTCAAAACTGGAATATGGAAATTTAAGGGACAAACCAATTGCGAAATTCATATTTTTTTTTCCCCAATAACATTTCATTTGTGCCACGAACAAAATTTAATGGGCTCGGACCATCAAATCGCTACATAGCGCGGTGGCCGAATCACGGATTAGCACCCAGGATCTTTGCCAACGGTGGCTCAGTGGCTCCGACATGGCCATTGTAAGCCCCCGCCCCCACCCCGCCCAAGGCACCCGAGCCACCTACTCCCCACACCCCCTCGCGCCCCGTTAACACAAGTATCGGGGCCGATTTCCACGCACACTGCCCGCTGCACACCGGCACGGCAGGTTCACGATGTCCTCGCTGCATGGAAAATAGCCAGTGGGAGAAGCACCCCGTACCGTGCCGGCCTCACACGCTGTCTCGGCACGGATGTGCCGGTGGAAAAGGGATAACACGGGCTCCGCGCGCCGCGTACTTGCGTAGCGGATTCACGATGTCTTCGCGAAGCAGCTGCTGCACCGTATTGTAATCTTTGAGGTCGCTGGAACGCTGCGGACGGTGCAGCATGCCGTCGAACACCGTGCTGAACGCGAACATGCTGCACGCGCAGGTGGACGTTGGCGAGCAGAGAGACGCGGAGAGACGCGGAGAGACGCGCACAACACGGGGGCGTCGGTCAGCACACATGGCAAGAAACGATTAAAGGGGTGGGGGGGAACCTACAGCTCATGGGCCAGGATATCGCGGTCATGGTAATTGAAAACATTTCATCACCCGGCACACCGTATCTGGTACACCCCTCGCTATGGCTGTGGCTGCTCGTCATGTGCCTACCCCACGTTATGAAGGTTCCCGGGGAAAATATTCCGCGAGACGTTTAACACCAAGGTTTCAGGTGGCGAGATGTTAACTCCATCGCCCGGTACGGAGGGAGTGCGTGGGTTCGATTCAGACCCCCCGATGCCCGTATATTTGGAGTCTGCATGATCGCCCCATGGTCACGTGAATTTTCCTCCGGGCCCGCCAATTTTTCCCTCCACATTTAGAGACACGCGTCTGGAGTATTTGCCTGCAATGCCCTTTCCACGCGATGAGCCGCTTCGTTGAGCTGTTATTTGCGAGAGCCAGGTCGCTTCTGAAAAAAGAGCTATATTACAAGCTCAGCGGGGGGCCTTACCCGGTCAAATTAAAAGACAGTTTAGTTTAGTAAGGGGGTGCGCGCACCAGAAGAGCGTGGAGTCCAGGTAGCAGGAGTTGTAGTGGCCCTGGATGCCCTTCGTGCGGCCGCACACCACCGCCGTGGCCTCCTTCTCCGACGGGGGAGGCACCTCTCCCTCCACGCGCTCGCTCCGGTAGTTGCTGAACGCTGCCGGAGTGGGGGAACGGGGGGGGGGCGGCGGGGGACACGCGGCGGCGACGGCGGTGATGACGCCGTTTCACCAACTCGTTCCAGATTGATCGGCGTTGCTGCCGTTCGGCCCGAGGGCGTTTTGACCGTCGCGGCGATGACGCGAAAAGAAAAAAAAAAGCCATCTGGGCGGAGCGCACTGAACGGATTCTGCCGTCTCGTGACGCGGCGCCGACGCCGCAATCGGGATGGAGAATGCATCAGAAGACAAAGACGGCAAACAAAAGGATTTTCGTCCTCATTTAACGAAGCTCCGCCACCCATTGGCGCCTCCGGCAAAACAGCCACCACCGCAAATTTTGTTCGTGTTTACGAGTTGTTGTCCTTGCCCCGCACCTCCGATTATCACGGCTGGCTACGTACGGTGCGAAAGACGTTCAACGCACGCGCGTACAATCACCATCGCCAACTCCCGCCATCTCGGTTACCGAGCGAGTTGCAGCGCTGCACGGGGTCACAATCACCATCGCCAACTCCCGCCATCTCGGTTACCGAGCGAGTTGCAGCGCTGCACGGGGTCACAATCACCATCGCCAACTCCCGCCATCTCGGTTACCGAGCGAGTTGCAGCGCTGCACGGGGTCACAATCACCATCGCCAACTCCCGCCATCTCGGTTACCGAGCGAGTTGCAGCGCTGCACGGGGTCACAATCGCCATCGCCAACTCCCGCCATCTCGGTTACCGAGCGAGTTGCAGCGCTGCACGGGGTCGAGGCCGACGTGTGGCATGGACATGAAGCGCGAGTCCGGACGGCACTTCTTGAACTGGATGAAGAAGCCCTTCCCCGTCGGACACGTGAAGAAGCGGTGCTGTTTGAAGGTTCCATCCGAGCAGCCCTGCATCTCCTCCTCCTACGAGCACGAGCGCGGACAGACGCACGCACGCGCCACAACGAGACCCAACGTGTCAGCCTTCCCTGACGCTTTCAAACTAAGGTCGCAGCAAGCGGAAGTATCCGTCAACCCACTGGTTGGTGAAAGTGGTGAGAATGGACGGGGTGGGGTGAGGGGGTATATAGAAGGACAGTACAACAGTCGATTTCGCAACACTGCCCTCTGCCTTGAAGCCGCCTAAGATAAACAGGCCGTGAGTAGCATGGTCACCCTATCAAAGCGCTATCCAGGCTCAACCCGACTCACCCCGAAACCTGCCCACGTGTGGTACACTATGGGTGAATCCGGTGACGGGCAGAGGAGTCTCGTACAAACCAAAACTCGCTCCAATAACAAAAACCTCTCAACGGTGCAAACGCACAAACAAAACAACCACAAATTAAAAAAATAAATAAAGGAAAGCGGCGCACCAACTCGATGCCGGCCAGCGTCTCGTCCAAGCCCACGGGCACGCCGATCCACCGGATGACCCCGAACACGCGCATCTCCTTGGACATCACCTCCACCAGCGAGCCTTTCTCCAGCTCGTATTTGCCCCCGACCGGCGAGGGCGACAAGGGGGTCGGAGGGGTCGCCGGCGACCGATCGCCGAGGCCGCCCAAGCTCGCCGCCACCGCAGCCGCGGGGTCCGAGAGCGTGCGGGGACGCGAAGGAGGGCCCTCGGGATCGGTAAGGCCACCAGGAGGCCCAGGCCCGTCGTCTTCCAGCAGCCCCTTGGGCCGGCCCTCGCCTGCCGTCCGGCCGCCGACCTGGAGACAAACGCGGCGAGGTGGCGGCGTGCTTCCGCGTATTAAAAAAATAACCACTGCCGTTATGGCAAGTCTACGAATGCTGAAGATGCCTTGGTTTGTCTCTACGCGCCTCAAGGAATTGTTATTTTAATATCTGGACGTGAAACCGCTCATTGGCGATGCCATGAACCGTCACGATCCGTGGTCGTGAGATTTCCTCACCTCGTTTTCACCATCTCGTTGGCACTGATATTATTTGTACCGTTTCAATCGCTTTATCCATCGTCAATCGGTCAATCAGGGTCAGACAACGGATCATTTTGACATCAGGCACTTTTGGCATGGCTAAAGATTAAGATTGCATTTATTAGGTGCTTAAAATGCCCCAGCATTTCAAAGCACCGAATATCACATCTCAATCACTCCACAGCCCAGCTATAATTATTTTTTTAGCCGAGGAGACCCCCTGAAGAAAACTGTCCCTGTGCAGCACGAGATATGCCGAGGCACCGGCCCACAGGAGAACATTAGCCTGTCGGTAGGAATGGGCGATGTTGCCGTTGGGTATTCAAATTAAGAAATCTGCGTGCACTTTTTTTCTTTTTTAAAACCTGGACCACGAGGCCGGTACACGGGGCCCTACTCGAACCTTAGTGAAACCCACACTGCCGTCGCCTCCTCACCATCTCAGCGGCCGGGAAGAAAGGCGCAATGTTGGAGTTGGCCTTGCAGAGCGAGGGGCGAGACCGCCCCGAACCAAACGGCAACGCGGCAAAACCTTCACTGCCGGCACTGCCGCCGCCGCCCACGGAACAGCTGCTGCCCAGGCCGCTGGTGATGCTGGCCGCGTCGCCGAGAGAACGCAGGCCCATGTCTGGCCACGTGTGCGGCACGTGCGGCCGCAGCGGCTTCAGGCTCAGCTCCGACTTGAATCGCCCGCCCAAGCTCGTCGCTGCGGCGCCAAAATAAGAATGAGAAAACATATTCATACTGGAGGAATCCGAGTGGCTCGGAAGCTCTTTTTCAACAGACGTCCCAGTAGGGGCGGGTCAGAACGACACCAAAACACGATAGGCTTGCAAAGTACAGGAAGGTAAAACGAGTCGGTTAAAAACATATACAAATAAAACGAAACTATGTTTTATCTTACCAGGTAAAAAGGCCACGGAGGTATTAACCTGGCCACAAATGATAGCTCAGCAAAGTGGCTTATCATGTGGAAATGCAACGCAGCAAAATAATCAAAATTATTCAAATGCATTTTTCTAAATGTGGAGGGAAAACCCGGAGGAAAAATCCACACAACCACGGAGAGACACGCAAACTCCAAATATACAACAGGTGTCAGGGTCGCGATCGAACCCCTGACCTCTTACATACCGGGCGAGGAAGATAACATCACACGACCGTGGCGCCCCTTAAATAAGATAGAGGGCGAGCAGATCGAGCGGGCGAAAGGTCGTGCGGGGAAAGGTCGGAGAGCACGCCGAACAACAAGCGCCACGAGAGCCAAAATCACGTGCGACATTACCGCTCGCGCGCCGGGAACTCGGTTCGAAAGGCGAGGTGTGGGGGGGGTGGGGGGGGTGGGGGGGGGCACCACCCACCGGCGTCCGGGTCAGCCGGCGAGCCGCAGTACCACGTCGTCTGCGAGTTCTGCCCGATGGGCGTGCCGCCCAGAGTGTTGTAGAACTGGCTTGCCGGCTCGCTCCCCGGCCTCTGCCTGCCGCCCAAACCCCTCGACTGCCCCAGCACCGCCGGCGAAGACGACGGCGGCGACGACGACGAGAACACGGGGCCGCCCCTGCGGCCGCCCGTCTGCAGAGACGCCTCGGCCGATTGGGCGTACTTGGACGGGAGATAGTCATCGGCGGCGCCGTCTCCTGGGGCGCCCCCGCCGAGGCCGCCGCCGAGGCCGCGTTTCACGTCGGGCGCGTGGTTGCCGATGCCGCTGTTGTGCATGTGGTTGTTGAGGAAGGAGCGGCCTTCGCCAATGGCCTTGTAGCTCTGGTGGGCGAGCCGCTTGCCCACGGCCAGGCTGTTGCGCGAGGGGTCCTTCTGATACTGTTGCGACGCAAGGTCCGACCCCGCGGCGTACCGGCTCCCCGCTGCATCACGGAGAAAATGGCAAGGGGCGGGCCAGCCGACCGGCGTCGATCGGCAAAAAGGTACCGAGGTTGTCGAGGTTCACGGTGTCCTTTAGCGCAAGGCCACTACGTCTGTGTCAGACACGGCTAACATCGGTGGTGAGTGATGAGGCGATCAAGTGAGAGCCCTGCCTGTCGCGACACATGACCCAAGTGGTGTCGCGATTCTGAGCGAGCGGGTGAGGGGGCGAGCGAGCGGGTGAGCGAGTGGACGAATGAGTGGACGAGCGAGCGGGTGAACGGACGACCGAGCGATCGGGCGAGTGGACGAGCGAGCGGCTGAGTGGACGAGCGATCAGGCGAGTGGACGAGCGAGCGACTGAATGCACGAGCGAGTGGGTGAACGGACGTGCGAGCGGGCGAGTGATCGGGCGAGCGGGCGAGCGGACGAGCGAGCGGCTGAACGAGCGGCTGAGCGGACGTGCGAGCGGATGAGCGAGCGAAAGCCCCGGCGAAAGCAACACTCACAGTGCACGGTCGGCAGCTGGGCTCCGTGCTCGGGCGACGAGTCCCGCGTGCTCCTGGGCCTCATCGGCCTCGGCGCCGAGGGCCCCCCGTTAGCGCCGCTGCCCCCCACTCCCAGCGCATTGTAGCTGTTTCCGTCCAGGGAGAGGCTGTCCTGTTGGGGAACAGGGAGCGGAGCGAGCTGCAGCGATCGAGTCGGGACGCCGTGGAAGGCGCGGCCGACGGTACTTTGGCGGCAGCCGCATGGGTTTCGATCGCCGCGTCGGTGTGCATTGTAACCATAACCCTCCACCACCCGATGGAACCAATCGAACCAAGCTGTCACGTTATGTGCAAAAATTCCAATTGATTTGTTATTTTCTTTCAGCAAATGGGAGGCGGCGGGGGAGGGAAATGTTGAAAGGCAAACAAAATTATGCACAATTTTGCGTAATATTGTTTCGACGAAGATGACATCCTGCATCATCATCAGGTGTCACGCCCGAAAGAATGCAATCGCGAATCATCAAATTGGCCGCCAAAGCATGTGCACGTTAAAAGTTTGGCAGCGATCGGTTCTCGAGGTTTCACTGCCCGTCAGCAGGGCGCAGCGGCGGGCAACATCCGCTGGCGTACTGCGCCACGCCGGTGGATGCGCGAGATCTTGCCGAGGCAGGCGGGGCTACGGAGCTTGCGCAACGTTTAAAGACGCTAGCAGGAAAGTGTAACAAAAAGGTGCTGCCGCTTGGTGCACGCGGCGCCACACCCTCACCAGCACGCTGGTGCGCTCGGGGTACAGGTAGTCCTTCTCGTCCTCGCTCTCCAAGCGCACGATGCGGTTCAGGTGCACGAAGACACCGCATTCCTCGTCGCACGTGAAGAAGCGCTTGCCGCTGTACGTTCCGTCCGTCACACCCTTGCCCCGGTAATATCCCTAGGCGAGGACAAAGATGCCCCCCCCCGTAATAGCCTTCAACAGACTGTCGATGGGCAAGTGCCGTTAAGCGAGCAGCCACGAAGGCCGGCGCGGCACACGAGGCGGTGGGTGGCCAAGCACCAGTGGCGATGATTACACACCGCACCAGGTACTCATTGGAGGCGGCCTAGGCGAGGGGGGGCCCAGGAGCGGTTCGGATAATCATCACCGATGTTGGCCGTGAGTGGGAATCGAACTCAGGGCCACCAGGTTCGTAGCGCAGCACGTTAACCACTACCACGACCACACATACAGGGCACGCACACACACACATACAAGGGCACACACACACACACAGGGGCACACACACACACACAGAGAGAGGGCGACTCGGTGATTAAAGCGCTTGACTCAAGACAGTCAAGCTACAAGTTCAAATCACATTCAGTGGCGATGAAATAAGCGGCACTCTACGGGAAGTGGGACGGAACAATGGCACGGCGATTAGCACACCGCGCTCCGAGCTCGACCACCCCTCCCCTACGCCATCTCCCCCCCCCCCCACCCCTCCTCAACCCCACCCCCGCACCGAGTCACCGGCAGCGCACCGGGACGGCGTGTTCACCTGCAGCTCGATGCCGAAACTGGTGCCGGAGAAAGGCCGGTCGTCGAGCGGGCCGCAGTAGCGCACGACGCCGATGGCCTCGCGCGGCCCGGCCACCGCCAGGTTCACGCGCACCACGGCCCCCGGGCGGAGCGAGCGCAGCATCTCGAGGCGCCCGCTGTCGCCGACGACGCGCAGGCGGTCCTCGCGAGACGGCATCGCGATGAGGCACAGCGCCAGGTCCTCCTCCAGCTCACTGCAGCACCGCCAGTTTATGCATTCGTTCATTAGTTCACCCGCAGGGGGACTGCCCCCCGGTTGTCCTCCCGCATGTTTATAAACACACCCATTAGGGGAGTTGGACGAACATACAAATATAGGAGCGTAAAGCTCGGGTAATTGTTGGCGCCGGTTCTGGCTTCCTTCCGGCTTGTCCGTTTGTCTTTGTATGCGTGTATGTTGAACTGTCTTACCGCACGCGTCACAGATTCTACAGCATTTTGAGATGCGCTTGGCGTTGATGATGCCCTATAAACTTAGCGATATATTCTTCCTGTTCATTCGTTCATTCGTTCCGCCGATTCTTCGTTAAAGGGAGGGTATGACTACACTGAAAGGCAGCGGAAGGCAAGTGTTATTTAGTCGGCATTTTTATTTAAGTCAATCTTCTTAGCCTGGACAGCGCCATGTACACGAGGTTATTAAAGGTGGCTGCAGGGATACGTGGTGGGTCAGTGCAAATAAATGTATTGTTGTTATGTACTTCTATGCTCTACCCCCCCAACTTCAACAACCCGCATGGACCAGAGTCGTGAAGTATGGACAAATAACCCCCGTGGACAAGAACAGCTTGGGGAGGCCCTCATCCAGCAGTGGATCGGCGAATGGCCTGGTGATACACGTGGACCTAATGATTGGGAGTGGAGTGGTGGCACAGTGGTTAGAGCGCTGCGCTGGCAATTTGGCAACCCGAGTTTGATTCCTGACCATGGCAAACGTCGGTGGTGAGTGATATCTGACCGTTCCTGTGCTCTCTCTAACCTTTCACCAACCCCCACTGACAAGTGTGGTGAAGTATGGTCAAACAAACCTAACAAATGACATGGCATGGGGGAGGGAGGGGGGGAGGGGGGGGGGGGCCTTCATCCAGCAGTGGATTAACAAAAGGGCATCACGTGCAGAAACCGGCCAGGTGGCTCGCAATCGGACGGCTGCAAGGTTCAAATCCTGCTTGGGCGTTGGACCCATCCTCCCTACGGGGGTCTCAAAAACGAGTACCGCACTGTTGGGAAGTCAACAGTGGTTGCCCGATGGATACACTCTCCCCAGCCATGGGAATGTGGACTTTCCGCCGCTGGCTTGGCAGCGTCAACTGGAGATGAGCGCAATGCCTCAAAGCTCGTTTCTGAGCCGGAAATCCGCCAGATTCCTGCGCTCCCAACACACCACCATGCCACCCCCCCCCCGCCCACCACCACCTTGAGCGATTGTGCCACGGGGAAATTAATCGGCTCCGCTGGGTTCTTCCCCAGCGGGCGCGCGCTGTGCAGCTCACGCGCCGCCGCCGCCGCCGCTAAGTGGAATCGATAACGGGACCAAAACGCAACGCGTGAAACGGCCACGATTTCTTGGGACCCGAGTGGCCTTCTGCGTGGGAACGCCGGCTCGCGAGCCCAATCAACAAATCGACGGACGGCCCTTTGCTTAATTAAAATCCGACAGGCCTCCTGTCGATCCACCGCTGGAAGAAGGTCCGTCTCCCCCACCACCCCCCCCACCCCGCCGTGCTGCGGCTCGGCAGGTAGAGAGAGCAGCTCGCGATCGGAAGGTTGAGCTCGTTGAAATCCTGGTTGGCGGTTGTGACCCGGGACCATCGTCCCTTAATTGGGTCGGTAAAATGTGTCCCGCTTTGTGGGGAAGCCAACAACGAATTGGATGTATAAGTAAAACTTCTCAAACTATATTTATTTTACCAGGTAGGGCCCACTGAGCTATACAGCAGACCGTCGACTATCCAGCGCGCGATTATCGGGCTTCCCACATTATTCGGCGGTGCCGGGCAGATGCGGTTAAAAACCGGCATGTAACCGGGCCAACGCCGGAAACCCGCTCCAAAGGCTGAACACACACACCAGTTCGGCCATCGGCACCACGTGCGTCACAAAAAAAGTAGCAATGCTCGATTTCAGTGCCAAATAACATTATGCACTACGTACAATTTGAACAGTTGAAATACGACACATATACACACGTTTCACGACTGAGAACTAACAAAAACAGAAAACGCACAGTGCGATCCGGAAAAAAAGCGCGTGCAATTCGGTGTTCGCTGGAGCACCGGTCTAAAGGCTTCACGAGTCCGGTGATTGTCAAACAGATGGTTGAAACAAGATTATACGCACATGTAGCCTCCTCAATTTAAAGCTTTCGTGACTGCAAGGATTCATCTTCTTTGGTTCTTTCGGTAAAGTCACCACGTAGAATGAGAATAAAATAATAACAAATTGATAAAATAAAATAGCACAATAATGTTCTCACGACGTTTCGGCCACAACACAAGGATGAAGGCCGCTTGTGTTGTGGCCGAAACGTCGTGAGAATTTAATTGCGTTATTTTATTTTATCAATTTATTATTATTTTATGCTCATTCTACGTGGTGACTTTACCGAAAGAACCCAAGAAGAAGTAGCCTCCTCCTTAAATGGAACGCGTTAGATTGCGTTAGCGAAAAAAAAAACGAAAACATGCACAACACCTAAAAACATGTCATACAAGAACGTGCAAAAATAAGCTATTTTAAATATTGATTAGTGGTTATCTGGCGTTTTAAAAAATTCGGGCCGCTGGATAATCGATGACCTACTGTACAACTCTTTTTCAGAAGCGACCCGGCCGCTAATGATAGCTCAATTGAAGTGGACCATCGTGTGGAAATGTAATAGCAACCAAATACAGTAAAACCTTGGATTGCGAGCATAATTCTTTCCGGAAACGTGTTTGGAATCCAAAACCCTCGTATATCAAAGCACTCGTATATCAGTTGTGATCACGTGACGCTCGGCAGACAAAGCGTATACGTACTGCTCGTATTGCAAGACCCTCGCTCGTTTATCAAATTAATATTTATTTACAATTTTTGCTCGTCTTGCAAAACACTCGCAGACCAAGTTACTCGCAATCCAAGGTTTTACTGTACTTGAAACACACGTTGAGTCTAAATGTGGAGGGAAAAACCAGAGGGACCTGGAGAAAAATCCACGCGACCATTTTGGGGAGAACATGTAAACTCCAAATATACGGGTGTCAAAGTTGAGATCGAACCCACGACCTCCTGCATACCAGACAAGGTAACTAACATCTCGCCACTGTGACACCCCTGTTTTTCACCGACTCTGGGTTGTGAACAGGAGCTGAGCATCGCCTCCGTGCTCATTTCAACAGGAAGTCACGCCACTTCGGCTGGGTCATATAGCCACACACCTAACCACCACACTCATTCAATCACTCACCCACCCAATCAACCACACACTCTCTCGTACACCCAGCCACCCCATCCACCCGCTCACTTACACCCACTGACTCGCTCAACCATCCACTCACCCACCCACCCACCCAATCTCAATCCGCCGTCTCACTTAGCATCTCACCGACCCAAACACTCACTTTAATGCCTTTGGAAGCACTTTGGCGATGGTGTCCGGGTAGTCCACAAAGGTCACAGCAAGCATTGTTCGTCCCTGAGCACAAACGGGTTGGCACTTTAAACGCACGTCTCATCGTATTGGGGGGGGGGGGGGGGGGGGGGTGGCAACAAAACAGAGGCACAATTGCTCGCCGCTCCGTAATGAATGTTTTTAAGAAATATAAATAATTAACGACCACGCGGCTATTACGCATTCGATTCCGATAGCACTTTCTACCCGCAGCCTCGCCGCTTACCGCTTTCGCTGGCTTCGCCTCGGGGTGTTTTCCGACACGGGAAAACAAAAGTGGTGATTTGTCAACATCGGCGTCGCGATGGGAAGCGCGGGCGAGTGGCCGAGCGGGTGCGGAAAAGGCGCAGGTAGCTTTGCGTTTCGTTTAACCCCTCCCAGAAAAACAAAACTGCGAACAGCGACGATGAACGCACATTAACAGACGGTCAAGCCCTCCGCGAGTTGAACCGCGCGGTGTGGTTCGGCATCTTCTCCGAGACACTGAAAGCCGACCGGGGTGCCTTGGCATTAGAAACTTTTGAGGTTGGTCGGATGGCTCAGAGGTCCGAGCGCTGAGCCGGCTGGGTTAGAATCCAAGTAAGAGCCAGAATCAGAATAGTCATTTATACTGGAGGAATCCCATGAGCTATACAACTATTTTCACGGATGTCCAGTAACAGCGGGTAAGAACGTTACAACAAACAGTACAAAAACACGATAGGAGTGCAAAGTACAAGACATACAACTGAAACTAAAGCATCCCCATCCCACCAGGCCAAGCCCGCTGAGGTTGACGTTAATGCTGACGCAGCGCGTTTCGAGTCACGTGTCAAAAGGGGCCCACAGCCACAAATTATAGCTCAACAAAGTGGCTTATCGTTTGGACGTTTATAGCGGCAAAAAAAAATCCAAACAGTCTAAACGCCTGCAATTAAACCAGGTTCTGAGGGGCGTCGAGTTGATGGGGTCAGCCCCCCCCCCCCCACCCACGTTAAGTTTGCTTCTGCCCTCAATTTGGCGACGTTCCAGCTGTGAGAGTTGACGGTCTTGAGAGGAGCATTACTCCCGGTCGCAGAGCGGATCTACAAGATGTGCCCCGTGCTGTGCGCACCATCAATCGCTTGAAGGGAACTCCGAGGTAGTTCTGCAGTATTCACTTCCGTGGCCCGTTCTCCGATACGAAGGGTAGCCCCACTGCTCTGTGAGAGTCACGAATGGATGATTTTTCTAGATATTGGCATAATTAATTATTTTTTTCCCCACTTGTTTACACAAGACTATTATTCAGGAGGGTCGTGCCAAGTTTTCTCAGTCGGGGAGTACGTTGCTGCTGCTGCTGCTGCGTATAATACCAAATGAGAGGACATTTTTCAGCATTGGCATGTCTGGCGAAAACCGGTTACGTTGTAAGTAAAAACAAAAATGTAGTTATCGGAGGAAACCAGGAGCACCCAGTAGGAAACCCTGGCAGAACGGGGGTTCGGGGGGGAATCATACAAACTACTGGACATCTGTGAAAAAGAGCTTTATCGCGCATCGGATTCCTCCGGTATAAATAAACATCCCGATTCTGAATTCCACGTAGGAGGGTATTCCCAAGTCGGGAATTGAACCCAGGTCCTTCTTGCTGCCGCGAGGTACAAGTGTTATAGCAGCTGTGCCGCCAGAGTCACAAATCGCGACAAAAGCGTGCCCAACAAACACATTTTTAAAATGTTTTTATGTTGCCTCCAAGGCAAGTTGTGTACCCACAAGATAGCTGCTGGTGAGGCCAATTGAAGACCCACCCCCCCTCCCCCCCACATCGAGAGTTAAGTGGACAAGTGCCGTTGATGCGTTCCACCGTTTGATTTGCAGCTACAGTCGCAGGTGTGGTGGAAATGTCTCATTAGAAAAACGGCATGGACGAGTGCACCCTTCGGACGAACGCCGTTCACTTTCCTCCCCCCCCGTCACACACACAGTGCCACTCCTTGTATTCAACCCAGAGGTGGGACGGCGGGGCACAACAAACCTCCAACCAGGAATTTAACTCGCAACCTTTCCTGATGAGTGAGCCCCTCTCGCTCGATCTAGCGCCGATCCACTCAGCCAGGGGAGGCAATTTTTTTCTTCGAATTCGGTAAAAAAAACTATACATATTTCAAGAGCCGCAATGCACTGTGGTGAATAACGTCATGGAGGAGCAGTCCTTAAAGAGAGCCGCTCGCGACTCCGGCCGGAGCCGCAGGATTGCCGACCCCTTGCACAAGGCCATGTGCTCATCTCTGCATTTGAACCTTACGGCGGAACCCCGGGGTCCCACAAGCCCCCGGGGCTCTCGCATAAACTGCGTTGCGACGTCATTTTACGTCCGTTGAAGGCGAACGATACGGCGATCTATTCCTCTCGACGAGCTCTACGCGATGCGCCAATCGAAGTTGAAAAGTTTTGTTTACGACTACGGCATTCGTCCCCGCTGCGCTCGGACGACACGACAACAGAACGATCCGCGCCAGGTGGGTCGCGGTGTTTATGTGCGGGGTGGGGCCCGAGTCGCCAAATTTTTTTTTTATTAATTACGATTTGGACTTCCGTTTATTCGGGAACGCGGGGGTCCCGCCATAAGGTTAATTTGTTCACGCAAAAAAAGGAACCAACACCAAAAGCTAGGAGAAGGGGGCCAAATGATCGAACCGTATTAAAAAAAAAAAAGCTGTACTGCACAGAAAGAGAAAAAAACCACCTCACATTTCTCTATTCTCGGGCAGCCTGCACAGGAATGCGCGGATTTACATCTCTGAAAGTCTCCCGATCCGATTGCATAAAACCCGTGCCAGAAGTGCACTTTGCAATCTGACCTCAATACACCGCCGGCGTGCGATCCCACCAGGAAATCACAGAGTGCGTGGGCCGCCCAGCGGTTACAAGCCGTGGCACGGCGGCATGAGAGCCCCAGGTATAGCTAAGACGTCACCGCGAAAAGATAAACTAATTATTCGGGGGGAGCGCGGGCGTTCTTCCGTCGAAATCCACGGCGATCCGTTTTACCCCGCAAACACAGAGAGACGGGGTCGAGTTACCGTGAGCAAGAAAGCGACATTTTATTTCAAATCTTCTACGCCGTCTCCCGCCGATCTCAACAGATGCATTAAATCTCTTTCAACACCCTCCTCCTCCTCCTCGGTTAGTGAGATATGGGGGCGTCGCTTTCACGGTATTCAATCAGCTGCTGAGAGGCAAGAGGGCCGTTAGAAATCAGTGGGGAATCGATGAATGCCTCACCCCGTACAGCTGGGCTGCGGGGGATGCAGCGGTGGCCCTGCTGTTAACCCACAAAGCTCGAAGACAATGCCATAAAGAGGTAAAACACTTATATGTAAGATAGGCAACGTTTCGGGCAATGGCCCTTCTTGATTGCAGAGAGATGTGTGCGGGTGTTTGTCTGGTAAGGTGTGAGAACGATGGCACTGTGGAGTGTCGTGAGCAATGCAATTGGGAGAAAGGCTGGTAACCTCGGTCAGCCGATAACTGCCCTCTTGGCGCACTCACATCCACAGGTGTGTCGTGAGGCCGGTACCGCCCCCCTCCCCGCCCCTCCACCTTACGCGTACGATGGTTTCAAATTTTTGTTTAATTAAAATCCATCACCGAGATGTTCCCTTGAGATGGAACATATCGTTCAAGCAAGGGTTGTCTCGGGTGTTCAGTGACAAACACGTAGCAAAAACGCGTAACGAGACGTGTTTACACAATGTCAAATATGTTTACGCGGAGTCAAGAAACGGGGGAGCGGGGAAGACAGCCAACGCAGCGGACACACAAACATCGCAGCGCAGTTGCACACACAAGTGAGGCACACCGCCGTTTCACATAGACTGTTCTCGAACTGTAACCGTGGCAGATGTCGCGCTAGCGAGTTTCAATAAAAAAATTGGGGCCTGCGGCACATTTTAGTGTCTGGGAGACCATCCCTGCGTTCGAGCAGGTCTGTGTCTGAGCGAGAGCGTGCCTGTTCACCTTATAACACTTTCCCATTCCAAAATTCCGGAAGTTGCAGTGTGGGTGTCCTGTTCACCGCCGAATCCCGGAACGCGCAAGCGATTCAGCGTCAATTTTATTTAGCGAGGCACAGCGCCGTCGTTTTTAAAAACATCGTACTCACCGCAGAGAACTGTAGCGACAAGACCACACCCCCCCCCCCCCATGATAGCTGCCACCAAACTGCGCCACACGCCCCGCCCACCCGCCCGCATGGCCTTGCGGGAGCCTCGGTACCGATAAAGCTATTTTAGTTTTTCTTCCGATTCCGTTCCGATGCCGCACGTGCACCCAAGTCATCGGAACGGAACTGGAAGAAAAACCGATGACGCACATGCACGTCATCGGAACGGGAAAAGGTTACGCGCAAAAAACGAAGGCGGCAACGGCAGTCCCCCGCTCAAGAGAGCGCACCGCCGCCGCCGCTCCGCTGCACCTCACCTGCGCGTCCCAGATGTCCTGCCCGTCGGCGGTGAAGCAGATGCTGCCCTTGGGCACGGGCCCGCACCGCTCGTCCACATCCTGGTCCTTGAGCAGGATGAAGAAGCTCGCGCGGCGGTGGCCCCGGCCACCGGCGCCCAGCGACTTCCCGCCCACCGCCGGCAGCGCAGAGCCCACCCCGCCGAGCCCCACACCCAGGCCGGTGCCGCCGCCCCGCATGCCGCTGTACATGGCGCTGCTGCCTCCCCCGCCAGCGCTATTTACATCCTGCGGTGGAGGACGAGAGGCAGGGGGTGGTGGGGTGGGACAACGAGCTTGAGTTGCGCTCGCGCTCTCAAGGAAGCGCCGCGCGTTGGCGTGGCTCGTAGAGTTCCGTCGACATGCCGGCATCAACAGAGCTGGCCGGGGTCGGATCGGAGGTCGGAGCGCAGGGGCCAGGCATCCCTCGATATTCTGGATTCGCATCAAGGCAGCTACCCCCTTCCCCCTGCCCACCATCTACTGTCCTCCGTTGGGAGGGCAGGGCAGAGAAACATAGGAGAGAGGATAAAAAGAACGCCGTGACCACAGCCAGAGATCAAACAATTGGAGCCCAGTACCAACAATGACAATGAGCGTCAGGGACAGGCGAGGCAGCGCCAACGAGCCCCAGGGCATCCTGAGGAGGCACGGGGCCCATTCGTCATCGAGCCTCACGAACACAGGAACGGCACTTGCGATTTTGTTTTACAAGCGCCGTTCTGTGGAGAAACGTGCACGACATCCTCAATGAAATTTGTTTAATCGATTCTTACAACTTAAACAGTCTAAAAGTTCACGGTGCAGCAGCAGAGGTTTATACTAAGTGTGGGCGAGGGAGACACTGGGCCTGCAATGACTTAACAAAATAAATATGCAGACAATAAAACACCTCCCCTTCCCATAACCATCTCATCGCATAAAAGTTTTTTTTTGTTTAAACATCCCATCAGTCACGCAGGCTTCTGGTAATATTTTTTTTTTCCAGCAGCATTTGTTTAACAGAAGCAAACTCAAGATCGGTGTTTTAGACATTCAGTGTCACATCATCAGCCCAGGCCTGCTTAAAACAACGCTGGTGAAATGCGACAAGTTTACTCTGCTAGAAATGGGCCCTGGCAATGAGTTGAATCAGTTAAATGTTTATCTACGATAAGGGGCTTCTGGCATGGCATGCAGGAAATCGTGACGCTCACGGGAAAATTCGCCTGGGAGAAAAGTGGAAGAAACTATGGCAGAAGAGAGAAGTGAAACCAAAGGGGGGGGGGGGGGTAACAGAAAACATTTTGTTGTGGGTCCGGCACTTTATGTAAGGAGACGTAAATAAGAGGGTAGCAAGTGCAGCGGTTGTAACCACACAACCGGCGCCATCCACCTATTCCATCAGTCGAGTTTGATCCTGAACACTTCTGCGTCAAGATGTATACACAGTGTGCTCATAGGCATTTAGGTCACGTGCCCTGCGATCGTTATCGACTGCATACCTTTAAAAACGCAAGAATTGCCAACGCACAAAGTCGCTCAACAATCAGAATATGCGGAGAGGCAAAAAGAGGATGACCACATGCTCTATTTAGTTATTTTCTTCACTGGCCGCTTGTTGATGACATAACCTTCTTTGCGTTTTTTCTTTTCAAAAGCATGACCTTTATTCCGTTTCCTTAGAATGGGGCATGTGTCCGTTGATGCAGTGCATCTCTGAGCAAGACCAAAACCCGGCAACGAGGGGCAACACGGAGGTCTAATTATAGTCGAGAAGCTTTACTCTCTTATACGACCGGATGCCGCCGTGGTGAAATGGGTGTCGTGCATAGGACTCGCAATCTGGCGTCCGCCGCTGCTTTGAGATCTCGCCCAACCGGCACAGCAGTTGAAATAATGGTGCCCCCCACCCCGCCCCGCCCCGCCCGCCCCGCCTCTGTCCACGCAGCAGTGCAAGTGGGTACGGCATCGCAGTACATCGGCAGGTGGTGGTCAAGTGCGGGCACACCACCTGTTCATACAAGATGCTCGAACCAGGGCGAACGGGTAAGGCAGACACCCCTCTAGAGCTCTCGTCTGCAGTGGTGCGAGCAAGCAAATTACGACAGCTGCGCCTTTTGTCGCGTGTTGCACTAAAACTAGACCGTGCAAAGGCAATAAAATAACCTCCCACGTGAAACCGAATGATGCGAGTTTCACTGGACGTAGTTTTGTTGATGCAATCATCGTCGACACGGTGTTACGGCACTCACCCAGTCTCCCGCAATAAGCTGCATGTAAGACAATACGTTAATACTTAGAGGTGGCCAGGCGGCTTGGAGGTTAGTGCTTTGGGCCAATTTCGCCGATAAGACATCAGCGCGAGGGCCGCCACACATTTGAAACCATTGGGTTTGAGACGGCGTGATGGGGTGCGTCATGGGGCCGCACTAGGGGCTGCCTGCAGGCCCACGGGCCTTGCAATGTAGAAGACTGCTTTAGGCCATGGGTTCGAATCCAGTGATTAAACCGGGTTCTCAAAATGTAACATGCTGATGGTCTCAGCTCGCTCCTCAATGAGTGTACACGAACAACAACAAAAAAACGATCACGTTAAATTCGGTTCCACGCTCAGTGGCTCAGAAATGTTAACTCTCGGTGGCGAATGTGATTTCTTACTTTGATCCTAACCTGCATAGCTCATTTTCAGAAGCGACCTGGCCACAAACGATAGCTCAACGAAGTGGCTTATCATCATCACGTGGAAATCCGCAGCAGCCAAACACTCTAAAACGCACGATTCTAAACGTGGAGTGGAAAACCGAAGTGACCCGTGGAAAAATCCACGCGACCACGGAGACAACTCCGCAAACTCCAAATATACAGCAGGCGTTGGGGATCGAACCCACAACCTCCTGTGTACCAAGCGAGGGATTTAACACCTCACCATCGTGGCACTTGAAGGGATGCGAGATGTATGTGGGACAATTCTCCAACAATGCTCTGCACTGCTCTCTGCGAGAGGTCCCGAGTGAATAATCGTGACGTGAGACCGACAGCGTAATCGGGAATTCATTGGTAAAGGGGGGGGGTGGGGGGGAAAGGGAAAAAAAATATAATGAAAAGATACAGTTATCACTCGACAGCTGAACGGGTGTCTCTCCCCGTTCAATGGGAAAGAACAGATGGCATTCGCCTAACAGAATAAGACTAAAGCACGATTACATGATCCCTTTGAAAAAGTAAAGGAACCGGGCTCACAGTACGCGATCCAACACACCGGCTCAGGGTCAACGCTCCCTCGCTTCCACATCTGTTTAATACACGATCATCGTTTTTGTTTTTATTTAGGACTGCTGCACGTTCGCCACCACCCGCCATGATCGATTCACCGCTGGATAAAAGCCTCCTCTCCAAAGCAGTGGCTGGCCCGCAAACTTCTCTGCGGTGGCCACATCACTTAAGAAACAAATCAGTGAAACGATGTCCCTTCGCTGACCGCACGGAACAATCAGCGTAATAATCCGCCGAGCAGCCGGCGGACGAGTTGATTTCATCGCTCCACCTCCACTGTGGACGTCCTCTCCGGCAGGGTTGGCCTCCTCTGGCTGCCGCTCCGGCACTATTTTTGGTCAGTCGGTCATCGGCCCCTTCTCTCGACGTGTTTTCACCGAAACCCACTTAACGCTTTCTGAACAGTCAGAAAAGACGTATTATGTATGCACAGTACAACCCCTCTTGCCAACCATCCCTGTTAACGACTAATCGGGTAACGACAGGCCTCCATAGAGCCCAATGTGTAGTGTATAGTGTAGTTGTGTATAGTAGTGTAGTGTATAGCAGTGGTGTACAGTAGTGTAGTGTATAGCAGTGGTGTACAGTAGTGGAGTGTATAGTAGTGTATAGTATAGTACAGAGGAGAATCCCTTTTAACGACCACCCCTGTTAATGACTGATTGCATTAACGATAGGCCTCCATAGAGCCCAATGTGTAGTGTATAGTGTAGTGTAGGATAATAGTGTAGTGTATAGTAGTGTAGTGTATAGTAGTGTATAGTGTAGTGTAGGATAGTAGTGTAGTGTATAGTAGTGGTGTATCGTAGTGTAGTGTATAGTAGTAGTGTATAATAGTGTAGTGTATAGTAGTGTATAGTGTATAGTAGTGTATAGTGTAGTGTACAGTGTAGTGTATAATAGTGTAGTGCCTCCAGAGCCAAATGTGTTCGCTTACCGACCATTCCCCTGTTAACAGACTGTTGTAGGTACAGTAAGTATTAATTCAAGCGTTGATTAAACATTATTAAGTAAGTTTTTTGGGGTGAAAATGGGTAACGTTTGATGCTATCGGAATGAATTAAGCCTTTTTAACAAGCATTTCCAATACTCGCTGAACAACCAAATCCCTTAACGACCGGTTTCGTGGAAACAATTGCCACCGTTAAAGAGGGCCTTCTACTGTGTACGTGGAACTTCTTTCGCACCGTACGTAGCCAACCGAGCCAATTGAGGTCTCTAACCTGCGTGCGTCCTCTCGTCCACGCACTCCTCCGTCAGTCTCTGCGCGCAGCGCCAGGTGTTCACTTCTCCACGCTTCCTGGCGCACGTTTTAGCGTTAGGAACAAACGTGTCGTTAGCGTCCCGCGCTTGCGATGAGCGACGTTGATGCATCGGTGGCGACGGTAAAGATGGGGCGAGATTCTGGGCGAGCACGGGCCCCAATGCCGAAACTGATCTTTCGCGGGAGCGAAAGCAACGCAGCTTGGTTACGCAACACAATTAACCCCGTCTTCATGCGAGCGGAATTTCCGCAGTTGCTATTAATACTGCAGTGCACAGCCTCGCTATGCCGCATGTATTCACGCACGGCACAACCCTCACCCGTCACACAGAGACACGCCACACCCGTCACAACCAATAACAACACTCAAAACAAAGAATACCCCCACCCCCATAGCCACAGCAGAATGTAAGGAAAGGTGGGTGGGCACACGCCACACCCGGCCGTCTTTGTCTTCCTAGTGGGCGATGTTTACACACCACACCAGGTACTCATTTGAGGCCGAGTCGACCTAGGGGAGGCCCAGGACCAGTTCAGATAACCGCCACAGGTGTTGGCCGTGAGCGGGAATCGAAGCTGGGTCGCCGGGTTCATAGCGTGGCACGCTAACCGCTACACTACCGCTCCCCACAACACATCACAACACACCACATTACACACCCATAACACACACACAGAGCACACTGCAACGACCACGCGAGTCCACACCCGTCCCCGCATACAAATCACCACCGTCAACTCGCGCGCTCGCACACTTTCACCACAGTGGCGGCTAATAGGTTGGGGGTGGTGGTGATGGCGGCGGTGGTGGTGATGTGCAATATGCATTCCCTCGTTGTGCAACAAGTTTCTGTGCGTGTACGGGAGCGACGCAGCGGGCACTTTTGAGATTGTTGTTGAGAGAGTTTCCCATTACAAGAGGAGAACACACCTTGCAGGCTGCATACAAACAGCACAAAACTGCAACTCCCATCATGCTTGGCATGCGTGTCATGTGATCGCTGCATTGCACGTCTAATGCTCCAAGCCTCATCCAGCTCTGGATCGGGCTGGTGTTTTTAAGCACGCCCATGTGTGACCTGAAATATACTTTTCACAATTGCATTGCTTTGCACGAACCTTACGTTACATCAGACCAACACAAGGCGAAAGGGGTAAGGAAATCTGTGCGAGTCACAAAACGATGATGCAAACTTAGCCAAACAAAAAGAATACACCCATAAAGCTAAGAATCGCCCAGGATTGTACAAATGCACTGAATAGCTGGGGGTGGTGAACGGTTAAATGCCAAGATATTAATATTCTTGGGCTCCAACATAAAAGACCCGGGGATCGTAGAGACGAACCAATGGACTTCAAAAGTCAGCTGCAGGCAACACACGAGATCGTGTGCGGTGGTGTGTGTAAAACACACACACACGCCCGGTGGTATAACGTGGATGGGCATGGGCCCTGATGCAAGAAATGAAACGCGATCCTCACCCCTCCCCCTGTTAAATTCCGTCCCCTCCATCTTCGTAACCCATTGCCCGGGCCTCTCCCAGTGCCTGGACCCGTGGGTCGAAGTGGAGTTACTCAGTCTGCCTGCACAACCGATAGCTACGCCAATGACCGAACCCTTTGGTCGCCTGAAGTCTCACTCGACGAGCCTCTTGAATTAACGCCAATCCCTTTGGCAGCCGTAGTCTCTCTTCCTCCACGCGTCTGTCCCACTCACGAGGGGTCCGCTATCCTTGCCAACCGTCTCCATGCTGCACTGTCCCGCGCCATCTCTCTTTCCGCTCCTCGGCCCACCATGTCCGATCGCACCACATCGCTCTCCCCCCCATCCCATCGCTTCTTCCACTTGCATCACTTGCACCTTCTGACCCACATAGTGTTCCTTTTGTCTCTTCACATGACCAAACCACACCAGCCTTTTCTCTCTCATCTTCTCTGTGCTTTCTATCACCTCGAGTCTCTCTCACTTCCTCATTTCTCTCCCTGTCCCTCCCTTGTTAAACCCAACATCCACCGCATCATCCTCATCTCTGTGACTGCCGTAGCTTGGTCCTCCCTCTTTCTTGTTCACCAGCACTTGGCCCCATACAACAGCACCGGCCTCACCACCGTCTTGTACACTATTCCCTTCAATCAAACCGAGACATTGTTATCGCACACTACACCAGTCATATCTCGCCATTTCAGCCATCCAGCCGTTGTTCTTGTTCTCATCTCCTTCCAGTGATCCATCAGCACCGCATCGTTGCACCCAGGTACTTCAACTCGTTCGTCTTCATTAACTGGTCACTTCCAATTTGCAATCCCCCTTCTGCATTATTTCCACTGAAATTTGCCACCACGCGCTCCGTCTTTGTCCGATGTCTCACTCTTTGAGCTAAATTAACAGCAGACCGTTTGGCAGCTGTAGTCCGTTCGGAACCCACAAGCCTCTTGATTTCACACGAGACCCTTCGGCAGCACCAGTCGGGCTCAACGGCCTAGGACGACGATTCACAACGCACCTGGCGGCACTGCATGCGTGGCGTCGAAGTCTGGCACAAGGAAAGAAACGGGGCCCCAGCCATCGTCCGACTTCCTCCTCTTTAGGACCCTGGTACTTGGCCCCCAGTATGGCCCACGGGACCCCGGTACAGCTGCAATGCCAACACATTCAACAGCGATACCACTGCCCACACCACGACACGCATCACAGTGTGGGGGGGGGGGGGAGCTAATTGTTACTACAGTGCACGTGGCCGTACCAGATGTTCCACCGCCCTCTGCCACCACCTGATACTGCCTAGCAGTCGCGCGTTCGCCGCTTGTTGCACAGTTTCGCGGTTCGACTCGAGCGGCCGCGCTGGTTAATACTGCTGCGGGTGGAACAGCCGTGACGGTACGCGCCGTCCGCCTTCACGGTGGACAATGAAGATCCCCCGACGTAATTCGCAAGGGTAGGCCATCGTGGTGCCGGCGTCAGAGTCCACGTTTGTCAGATTCGAAAATGACACTGCAAATTACTCAATTGGGATTATACGCAAGGCAAACATCGCCCCCCCCCACCCATTTATGGAGACCTATACCACTTTTTGCAAATTAGACTATCCCAGTCTCTTGAGTTATGAGACTAGGGTTCAACAAAAATAACCTTGCAACCTCAGTATTGTCAAAGCTGTATAAGCATGCAGACTATCTGGATACAAAAACCACGTAAAAGGTTGTTAAGAACAACAATAACTTACAGCCACTTTGCAAATCCACGCCTGGCCGCACGCCGTGTCAGTCACAGAGATTACTCAACCATACGTCACCCAGCTGGTGTTGTGCAAGGTTGCTGAAGTGGGGAGGTGACCAGCACACATTTAGTCATCACTCGCCACTGTTATCCGTGGTTAGGAATGTAACTCAGATACCTGGGTTCATAGCGGAGTTTCGCTAATCACTGCACCACCGCTCCGACTTAAGGTCAGGTAAAGGTACAGTTGCTGCCCTGACATTTCTTGTCCATGCAACTGCTGGGAAAAAGTGCCTCCACTAGAATGTGTTTTGGCCTACTCTTCCACGCTGCCCAGACGTCATGGAAGGGAGCGGAGCACCCACACTTTACCCCAACCACACGAGATCTGCCTGCCGATTGAATAACTGCGATTTGATCATCGTCGCGATTCATGGGCAGATAGTCTGTGTAGGTATCCACTGCACAAATTTGTTTCCAGCACTGTGATTAACCCATGCAGACAGCTGGGTATAAAAAGGCAGGTGGAATGAACACATTTGCTCCATTGTTTCCAATGGCGCGCCAGGAGACGGTGGTGGTGGTGGTGGTGTTAATGGTTCAGTAACATTACACCAGGGCAGCTTCTCAACCTTGGGTCAGCGCGTTAATTCACTTTCATTGAGCACACAAAATAGGTGGCACCACGAACCCACGCGTCAAGTGAATTGTGTCGGTTTCATCTGGGGTGGCCAATGCTATTAGCATCTACCATGGGAAGACTTCAACATGGGCGGAAAGCTTGGTGTTCTTACCATCTATTTTTATAGACACACTCAATATGTATTGACAAATTCTGCAGATGTTTCATATCACACTCGGTTCATTTTCACCTTCCAAAAACAAAATCTTACCTATACAAGTCATTTTTGTCGGTTTCTTTCTCTGTCTTAGTCTGCGCACGCCTTACGACGCTTTTAACTCACGAACTGTTGGGTTTACGTTTCAACAAAGTACACAGGTCAAATGTAAACTAATAAAATCCCACTTTATAACAATTTATTATATTTTTTATTTAAAGCTTTCGTGACTGCAGGGATTCATATTCTTGGTTCTTTCGGTAAAGTCACCACGTAGAAGGGAAACAATAAAATCATAAAAAAATAAAACAAAATTCTCACGACGTTTTGACTGCAACTCAAGCACTCGTCATCAGGTGTGAAAACCACATCAAAAAAACCACGGCAAGAAAATTAAAATTTTCTTGCTGTGGTTTTCACACCTGATGATGATTGCTTGTGTTGCAGTCGAAACGTCGTTGAGAATTTTATTGCTTCATATTTTTTATTATTTTATTGTTTCCCTTCTACGTGGTGACTTTACCGAAAGAACCAAGAATAATTTATTATTTTACCACCCTGATCGCTGGCGCCATAACACGCGTCTGCGCATGCGCGGTCGCCCCTAGCAACGCACACGTGCTCGCTGAGCGGGGACGGGAGGGAGGATCTCCTTCCCGTTAAAAAGTTGAGAGTCAGTAGATACTACTGTAGTGAGTAGTTACTACTGTAGTGTCAGTAGTTACTACTGTACAGTCTGTTGTTACTACTGTAGAGTCAGTAGTTACTACTGTAGAGTCGGTAGATACTACTACAGTCAATAGATACTACTGTAGAGTCAGTAGTTACTACTGTAGAGTCAGTAGATACTACTGTAGAGTCAGTAGATACTACTGTAGAGTCAGTAGATACTACTGTAGTGTCAGTAGTTACTATTGTACAGTCTGTAGTTACTACTGTAGAGTCTGTAGTTACTACTGTAGAGTCAGTAGATACTACTG